TTGCCAAAGGTGTATGAAAAGCAAATAATGTTGTTAGATGTAGTAAGTATAAGTAGTCAAGCCACTACTCTACTGTGTCATTGCTGTTCAGGAGCCATTCTGGTATGCACATTTTAAAGGGGAAGCTGGAAAAAAAGTGAAGAAAATGGCTGGAAAAAATGCCTTAGCATGGAAGATTTAAGTCAGTGGGTTTATATGATCAGAGAAGCCCAAGAGGTGAGTTCCTAAGCCTGTGTAATTATTAGGAGCAAACAGGCATTTTAATCTTGCTGTAGCAAGAACAAGAGCCTTGGAGCGAAAGCCATTCATGTTCAAGTAAATGAAAATGCGGGCATGTTTCTTTGGGTGAGATTAATCATTAGAACTGACTGTCATGAGTAGTGATGTATTCATCTTACCTTTGTATTTCCATAGCAAGCCTTATGGCTAGTAGATCTAGTCAGAGTCAGCCTACTGAGTTAATTGGGTAAAATACCGCAATCTGGCATAAACAGGAGGAGGGAGGACATATTCTGATGATCCCCCCTTGCCATAAAATATCTGATTCTGTGAATTTTAAGGAATCGTTTGTGCTTATTTAGAACCTTGTGTCTAGCTGTGGTGAATTTAAGGAAGACAGAGATAAGACTCAGAAAACCAAAGGCAAGCAAGATGGTTAGAAAATAGTTATAATGAGGGATATTCAGGTAATAGTGTTATGTCACCTGGAAGGGAGAGGATGAGAGGAGACTTCACTTAAACTGTTGAAGGTTATAAAAAGGCTTTTAAAACCACCAGCAATAAGAAAACCAAGAATCATGGGCTGACGTTAATGCAAGTATATAAAGAGCCATTTCTCACAGCTAAGGCAGCCTGGGAAATACACTTTCAGCAGGTCAAATCTGCCAATGCATTTTGAACGGGCTGGCTAACTTTTTATGACCGTAGCAAAACTGTACAGGTTCTTGTGCTAAGGGAAGAATAATATAGAGTCATGACACAGGGTGAAAAACAGATGTCTACACAGGCCAGCAAGGGATGCCCCACACACAGACAACTCTGAAGAATGGCTAACAAGCACCATGGCCTGCTTGATCATTTTTCACTTTTCTGATCCACCAACAGATGGTTACTGACAATCAGAACACTTCGGAGTGGATAAAAGGTCTTACTTAGCATGGCAAATCCTGCCTTTTTAGGCAAGATGGAGGATGAAAGCAACTGTGCTGCCTCCATCTGAAATCCCTGTTTTTCTGCCATGAGGCTGAGTGTTTCTTTTCCCAAATTTGCAGCCAGCCTGTACCAGGTTACTTCAGTGCTGACCAAACTCTGGACTTCATGCTGCAAGCACAGACTGGAGACGGGAACAAAAAGGTAAAATAACTGAAGACAAGGAGGGCGGTGGCAGCATAGGAGTGAAGGAGGTTGGTAGAAAGGGGCAATTATTCCCTGCTCTTTGCTCTTCCCATTTCGGCTGACCCTTATCACTGGGTGGGCACAGGCATGAAAGGAAACAGCACAGGCCATGCCACTGCAAGGGAGCTTTCTGTATGTCCACACCTGAACACTTGTTAATGCTAGATCTCTTCCCTGCCTTGAGGTGGTCGTGATAGATGGCAAATCTGGCCTCACTGTCTGGAACCAGGAACTCCGGTGGCAGAAACAACAACTCGATGCACTGTCAGTCATGACTTTGGACAAGAAGTCTGTTTTTCTCTTCTGGGCTGATGAAGCACAGCCTGTGTTACAAAGTTTGGTGAGCAAGCATCCTTTCTTCACTTTGAGGTTTCTCTGTGAGGCACATGCAGTCTCTGTCTTCTATTCCTAATGTAACTGAACTTTAAACCTGATATATAATAAGTATGTCAGGGACATCTTTTCCTCTTGCTTTGACACTCTGACTTCTCTGAAACTCAACACAGCAGTTTTAGTGTGCAAATTCTTCACCAGAAAGCTTTATTTACACAAAATTCGTGTCCATAAAACCAAAACGTTCTGCCTTTTTTTTTTCTGCAAAACTGAGATACTTTTCCTGCAGATTTGCTCCCAGCCCCATAGCACTGCTTCTCTGCATGCAGGCACACAAGTCAGCCTGGAGCCTTAAACTTCCAGACTGTAGCTTTGCTCATCAAGCTGGCTTTGACAGAGCCAGATCTCAGTCTTACCTAACAGAAGTTGTGGAGCAAATCTGTTTTAGAAAAAAAAACTTTGCAGGATTTTGTCTCTGTAAAACCATAGAGGTTTTGATTCTTTGATCCACACAGCACAGTGTCAGAAAACTTCTTTGTTTTTTTGGCAAAGCTAGACTACTCTTTGCTAGCCAGCTATAATGTTGTCTGTCCTTTGTTCCAACAGCGACCTGATCCCAGACCTGAGCGCCCAGGACTGCACCACCTCTATCTCCTCCATCCTGTTTTTCCTGCAGTCCTTTTGGACCTCACCAATGCAACAGACAAAGTCATTGCTTCAGCAGGTGAGTACCAATGGAGGAGAAACTACCTAGGCTTAAGGAATATGAATGTAGAGGTAGCTATGGGAAACAGTGGGATGTAGTTGTGCCTTTAAAGATAGCACCTGAGGTCCACCACGCATAGGACAAAAGTAGGATTTGTCTTCTTCCTGAAAAAAGGTCCTGTCCAACCCCTACTTTGCAAATAAAAGACCCACCAAGTTTCTTGTACATGTTTAAGCAAGGAAAGGTCCAAGTTTAATTTCACACAGGTTTTACACCAGAGAGCATGTTTTACTGTCTGCTTTCCATGGAACTATTTATGGTTTAAGGTGGTACATGAAGAATCACTATGAAACTTTCCTCTGTCACCTCAGTTACATTTCTGCCTTTGTTGGCCGTCTTCTCTTGCTCTCTGGGAGCTGTGCTGCTTCTTCTTTCCTTTTGAAAGGGAGAATGCAAAATATTTAAATTTGTGTTTTCATTGAAAAGTAGATCTGATTTAACATCTATAAAAGATTGTAGAGTCCCTGTTGGATTTCCTTGCTCTTTCTAAAGCAGTTCAACCAACAGCCAGCCTATTGAGCATGGCAGGATGTGGAATAAAAGATCAGTTCATCCAGCACTGAGTCCAGTAGGCCAGGAAGCATAGAAAAGCTGCTACATAGTGATACATCTAATTGGGTTTGTATCAAAAACACAGCTCATTCAAGAACAAATAGAATATAATTTTTAGAGGAGTTTGTTAGAAATTGGGATTTCTGAGGTCTGTACAGATCATTTTTCAGTGACTGGAGTGAACTGAGTTGTCCATGCTTTACCAGTTTTCCCTTCTATAGAGGTAAAACAATAGCTGCTAATAGGTGTTGGAAGAAAAGCTCTCTGAAAATGAACTGAATTATTGAAATATGTGTATCTCCTATGTCAAGCTCAAAAACATCACCTGGAACCAAACCCTTTCATTTCTGATCTAAATTTATTTCCATGGAAAATTTTTAACTTAAAATACTTTTCCCTAATTAACTAAGGTACATGCAATTGTAAAGTCAGTCCAGTGGATGTTTTGAGTGAGTAAAGACTGTAAGATTTCTTTTGGAAGAAACATAATCATTTACTCCTCATCTATATTTTCTTGTTCTTTTCTGATGGACCAGTTGGAATTAACGATCTCCAGAAGGATGCATTTCACATCACTGTGACAACAACTGCAACCTCTGAAAAACAGCCAGGGTTTCTCTCAGTCAACAAGCTGGGCCTGAAGTGGGCCATGATGAGTCAAGGTCGAATGGTGTGGCTAAAGGACAGCACCACTCCCAAAATCAGCCGTGGAGAAATGAGGCGATTTCTTGCCCGGCTGAAATTTGTTGACTTTCCTCAGAAGGTGAGATTGTGAAGGAATCCCTAATGAAATCCATACATTTGAAAACACTTGATCTCTTCCCTACAATGAGCACTACACATTTAAGTGCTCTTTGGGATGCAAAGAGACTGGTGGGATGCATAGTGACTGTTTACAAGATGACTGGATGCCCTTTTGGGAATAAACTGGACAGATTTGGCAGTTGGACAAGGAGGGGAGATCTTAGAAAGAGCCAGGGATGACGATCATAAGGGACTGAGACTTACAGAAGGAACAGAGAGGTGGGATAGAAATCACTTGTTTAACATGGTCAAACAAGGGCCTTCCACATAGTGGTGCCCATGTTCAGTTGCTGACCTGTGAATTGCCACTTTTCTCTACCAGATTGGATGATAATAGGTTTTAGCTTTAGTTTTTGTTTGCCTTTCCTTCTCCAGCTGTAGCCTGATGGTTCCTCAGATTTTGGCTGAACCTGTGGCCTGTATGGGGAATACAGGAAGCTACTCTGCGGATCTTCAGGAAGACTGCTGTGTAGAGGGAACGGGGCTAAAAGCACTTCCCCTTTCTTCAGCTCACTGGGGAATGCTGCTGGAGGCAGATTTATTCTAGGCAGACCAGAGGAACCTTGTTCAGCATCCACCCCTCCATATGCTGTTCTTGCATGCTTCCTTCCAGGTAACACGGAAATGTGAATTTAGAATTTATACACATATATATATATACACACACACATACAGATATATATATATATATGTATCACTTTATATGTATATTTTTTGTATGTTTAATTTATGAATGAGATTTAGGACACTCCTTTTTATGTCCAAACAGTATTCCCAGGCAGTCAAACAAGCTATAGGCCTAGAGTGGGCCATAATGACTCAAGGCAAATGGTGTGGCTAAAGGACACGACCTGCTTTAATCTTTGTCTTTTTGGAAAGAAGTCTCTGGCTGGCTCCTGCAGGACTAGTCTTCTTTACAACCTTTCCTGTGCTCTCAGCCCTCTTCTCCATTCTGTCCCCAAACTCTAGAACAAGAACAAACTAGTTCTCTAGCTGAATTACCTGATTTAGAAAAAGATGGTTCAACAGCACTTGCCAGCCTTTGCACTTGTATATTTCTTTCCCCATTCCCAGGTTCAGGACAGATTCTTGTGGGTGATGTAGAAGCAAAAGTTTCACATCTTATTTCTGTCCATCCTTAAGCTTTCTGTGAACCCAAAGTGTCACTGTAACATCACACTGCAGTCCAACAGGCTGAGTCCCCCTCTGCAGATGCATTACAGCCCTTTTGGGATAGATTCTCGGCAGATCCCCACTAGCACTGTAAAAATCACACTAGATCCAGTCACAGCCAAGCGGATTCTCACACCACTGCTTCAGCATTTAGAGGCTCAGATCTTTGATTCTCTCAGAGGCTCAGTCTCCTGTGTTGTAGTTGCAGAGCATCTACATGAATGTTCCTGTGAGAGGAATGACCACATAAAAAGCAACCACTTTGGTGCCCTAGCAGCTCCCCACCATGCAGGGCAACAACATAGGAACTTTTTTCTCAGTATGCCTTTCTAGGTCTGACCGTTGACATTAGGCAGAGTGAGATGAGGATTGCAAAGGACTCCTCTGTCCTCCTGTTGGCACGTTTCCTTCCAGCCTCTCCACACTTCCCTGTGAGTGGAGAGGTGATGGCAGGACCTTGACCCTCCCTCCAGGTGGGCACATCTACTATGGGTTTGCTATCCTGGGCTCTTGACACCACTCCTCCATCCCTGCATCTCAGTATAAAGTTTCCAGGACAGCCCTTCAGGATTAGCTGTAAGCCCCAAGGCTGGTCCTTGGGCCCTGCTCTCTTAATGTCAGAGCCTGTGAACAGTTTGTATATGTTTAAGGGTATTTTTGTGTAAATAGCTTTATATATATTAGCATAACTGTAGCAAGGGCTCTAGGCCTGGCATTTTTTCCTCCAAACAGGGGTTAGTGTTTATAATACATAGTTAATACAGCTGCATAATAGGGACTGAAAGTTTGAGGACCAGTAACATATGAGGATTAAACAGGAGTGCCTCTTCCCTCCTGTATCCCACCACCTTGCTGGAAAAGGTGGAGCAGCTATTACTCAAAGTAGTTACTCTCCTGAGGTTCTTTCTGAGAGAACTGATAATTCAAGTGCAGTGATGTTAGCTCCTCCATAATGTGAATTCACCGTGCCCGCACACACACATCCCCACTGTGAATAAAGAGTCTGTCTGTATATTGTTGGGAAAATGTATTTGAACTGTGAACTGCAGTGGAGCAAATAAATACTGTGTACAGCATCATGTGTCATGTGAACAAGTGTTTCTCCTTTGAGAGATTATGAGTTTGCTTGATTTGAGGATTGTTTGCAATATTTTTACAATGGGGAAAAGGGAGCAGATGAAGAGAAACAAAAAAGCAAAAGCCCAGCCAAGGATTCTTAAAGGTTGTGGAGCAGCACAGTAGAAAGAGACAGACAGGAAAGTACCTCAGAATGGGAGATTGTGGAGGGAAAAGTAAGAAAGGAACATGTGGGAGACATTAGAGATAGGAAAGAGGAGGAGAGAGATGTATAAAAGCACCCCTTCATTGCTACTGCAGCAGGATTTTTAATCAGGAGGCAGGGAAAAGGGGAGGTTGGGCCTGGAAATGAAGAATAAATATGATGTTCAGAGAGGATTACAGCCAATAAATATGAGCACTGATGCCCTTCACCGTAGCACTGAACCGGGGGATTACTGAAAGGTCAAGCTGGTATCACCCAAAGAGGCCCAGCACTGGAATTTTCCAGCTGAATGGTGCTGACTACCTATTCCCAGGTGCAATACTGATGGGATTAGGACATCTGTCTCAGCTCTGTCTGAAAGAGCTTGGAGACAGCTGACACCAACATGTCACTCTAGTTTCATCCTTCCCTGCTGAAGACATCCATCAAATGGTGATCAGGGAGGACCCACCCTGCTATTGTTGGCACTGCTCTTGCCCAGGCCCAGTGTCCACCTTGTCTTCTTGCTCTCTGAACCATAGAGGAAGGAAGAGCTCCACAAGAACTTGCTAACAGTGGTGCTAGTGTTTGTTTCAGAGCTCTTGTGCCTCCCAAACCCTACTGCTCTGCCCCTGGACACCCATCCTTAACAGCGATCCTCCCTAATTGTCTGTCCCAAGACCTCATCCAGCTCCAGCTCTGGTTCCCGCTGTAGCACTTTCTGCTGCAGCTCAGAGTAGAAGTCGACTCCCTCAGAGACTGAATGAAGGGGTTTGTCTTGGGGCTCATAGTAGCTGCTTATTTGCTGCTGTATAAAGCACTGGTCATGCTGAGGCTGATCCTTGAAGCTCCCATTGTAGCCCTTGATGTGGTTCCTTTTGAACTCCAGCACCATCTTGGTGTAGGTGTTGAGAGTGGTGACAGCAGAGGCCATGCAGCAGGTGAAGGAGGCCCAGGCCATGCTACAGGAGAGACACAAGAATAGCACATGATGTGAGAAGCCAAGTAGGGTAAGGAATTGAACTGCATACACTGTGATGCACCCTGATTTGCCAGGCAGAAGCTGCGAGCATAGACATGAACTAGAAAGACTAGGGCTCGTAACGTTACAGTTCTTAGGATTATCCCACCACAAGATCCTTCTTAGGACAGTGGGGTAAATACTGGTCATCTCTGTCACAGGGCAGGGAGGGATACAGGGAAAATAAATAGGGCATCAGGAAAGTCTGTAACTGGTCAGAGCAGGACAGCACAGTTCAGAAGCAAGTTCTGTATTGAAGGGCTGCTCAGTGTCTTCCTGAATATGAGGCATGTCTACTTGAGCATAAGCAGATGGCCATGCTGACACTTGATGTCTACAGCTGGCACATGGCACTGGAGGGTTTAAGTCTTAAGTCAACGTGGTCATTGTTAGTTCAGCACTGCAAATCGAGCCTGCACTTTCAATGGCCAAGGCTTATCCAACTGTTTTTCAAGTCAGTTATGCCATATCAGCTGCAGTTGGTTTCTTTAGCCTTTAGAGAAAGGAACCCCGAGGCGCCTGCTTTTTGCAACTGCTCCTTCCTGGCTACAGTGTCCATATCCTTCAAGCATGTGTCTAGGCTTGGTGCTGCAGGAATAGGCCCTTTGGACATTGGTTAGTGAAGATACCAAACCAGCATGCAACTTATTTAAACTGCATAAAAGGCATATTTGAGAGCATCATCACAAGTGTGACACTGGCCTCTGCACACAGAGAAGAGCTGTGACCAAACAGGACAAACCAGCATAAGGAAAAACATGATTAGTTAGCAAGGTTGAAAGCACTTGTTTAGGTGTGATCCCATTGTTTTGCCAGTCCTTGGTAGCTACTCATTTAAGTTACAACTATTTGTTAAAGCAGGGGATGAGGCAAAGACAGGAGATTAGCAATAGGAGAACCATGGTACACCTGTCTTTGGAAATACATGTCAAGAAAGGAGGAGGTGGGTGTCAGCAGGGTATAGCACGGCTGAAGCCCCAAAGTCTGGGGAGGTGAAGATGGCTTCAGCACTCACGTACTAGAATGCCCAGCCATAGTCCCATGAGTGTGGTCTCCAGTCCTCTGGTCCTAGACTAACTGTTGCCTGGAAGACTTGAGTGTACATCATGTGTGCCACCATCCCAAGGAGACCTGGACACAGAAGAAAACAAAGTTACAGCAAGAGCCAGAGCAGCATACTTCAGCCTTGTCTAGGAGAGGAGGCTCTCCTGCTGCTGTGATTCCAAGCTTGCAGTAACATACTTGCCTGACAGCACCGAAGAGACAGCAGCAAAGGCGTTGAGCTTCAACCCACAGACAGGATTGCCAGTATGCAGCATTTCCACCATCAGGAGGATGAAGCTGATGAGTAGCAAGCTGATGTACAGCATTTCTGATCCCAGCGACAGCCACAGGATTCCTGCCGGGAACCAGAGACTTCTCACGTCAATACAGGATGGCTTGTTCAAGGGAGAGTACTCCCCCTTCCCAACCCAATCCTAAAAGGATGTCCTTTGGAAAGAAGAGAGAGAAGGAAAACAACAAACACCCAAAAGCAATCCCCCTAGCCTGTGAGCAAGGGCTCAAAGGATGCTGAAAGGGGACAGAGAGTCTGTCGCGGAAGATGGCTTGGCCAGTCTGGCATGACAAAAGCTGAGAGGAACTAAAATTACTATAAACAAGTGAGCATTATTCATAAACAGCAAGGAGGAAACCAAGGGGTAAAAGACAAGGAAAGCTGTTGAGTATTAGCACAAAACCTAGTAGTCACGTGGGCCACAAACACATCTGATGAGCTGGATGTTAGAAGGTTCTTACCTATTAGTGTAGTGCAGAGTAGGTTTCTAATCACAGGAATGAAATTTAAACCTGGGACTCACCTGGTTAAGTAAAGAACTGTATGGTGCATCCACAGCTGCAGCTGGGACCTGGCCTCTGGAATTCAGGAAGGCCCTTGCAAGCCTGTATTTCTCGGTGAAACCCCAGTTAAACTGAAATTACATTCTTTGAGTTGGATATCCAGCGAGGGCCATAACATTCACCACTCACCCTGCTGCTTGAACAGAGTGCAGATAATTTCATGGTGGGTTTGAGTGGGACTTAAGTGATACCAGTCCACAGCTGAGCTCACTGTGCAGTAGGACTTGGATGAGAATGAGAAAAGGCACTCAGTAACGCTGGACTGTGGAAAAGCAACAGGATTCACTGAGGAAAGAAATATTAATCTGACAAATGTGAATACTACTGTCAGCAACTATTCATGGCCATAGAGGAGACATTCAGCTGGGGAAAAGGAGTGTGAAGAAAACCCTCATTAATGTGACATTAACTTGACTCCTCAGTGTTGTTAGTGCCATAGAATCACCCAGCTCTTTAGCAGGAATTGAGGAGCTGCATTCTCTGCTTAAAGGAGCTGGCTTGCTTGATGCAGCACCATCAGGAAGACTATTTCATTAGAGGTCAGACTGGCAAAAATGTCTCCAGGCACTACACATGCATAGATGTCTCTGCATCATGTTCCCTGTGAGTCCAGGCTCACCACGCATGCTGTGTCATCTGGTCTTGTAAAGCTGCCTATGTAATGTGGAGCTGCTCTGCACATACCCAGCTCAGCCAGTCCAGCCTGCAACCAGCAGTCACACCACCTTCTCCAGTCCTGGCCCAACTATATAATGGCAGCTGTGCTGGAAGTAAAGGTCATTTTAAGATGATGCTATGTGCAGGAAGGGGCAAAAGCAGGTGATAGAGCTGTTAAGACTGCAGTGTCACTATCAGTGTCATGCTTAAGCTCACAGTGATCTTCCAATTAATTTGTAGGCACTCAATCTCTTACAGAACATGGCCTTCCTATCAAGGTTGTGCTGCAATTAGACAAGGAGCAGTAGGAGGAGTGTGAAGGGGGACAGACAGATTTACAAAGACACATAATCTGGTTGTATAAACTTCCTTTCTTAAGAAAACAGTCTATAAAGAAGACAACGGAAGCAACAGAGCCAGAGGCCTAGGCCATGGATGGAGCACAAGAAGGTGAGAAAGAAGAAAAATGTGTTGCTACTCCCTGTGAAGTGAGCATTTTGCAGTAAATGCAAGAGTCATTCAGCAAATGCAGTTAAATCATTCATTTTATGACAAAGTGGAGATATACATGGCTTCAAAATGATCTTGTAACATCAGCAGTGTTGCCCAAAAGAATAAGCAGGGGATGATTTTCTACCCTGCTGTTGTGCCAAGAGTAATCCAGTTTAATCTGCACAGCAATGCCACTGCACACCACCAGATCCCTCACCTGAGAATGCACATTGCTTTATAAAAGCAGGTCAGCAGTCTTTGTCAGTGTTTTTAAAAGAGGGGAAACAAGACAAGAAGGAAATTAGGTCTCCAAAAGTACTCATCACCCTGCTGTCTGCTGTGATTCCTCATCATTTGTTCCAGCTCTTGCTTTCATTACTTCAATGCTGACCCTTCACATATGAACATCCTCCGAAATGACTTGCCTCCAGCCTCAATATCAGGGAATAGTTAGCAAGCATACACCAACTGATGAAAAGTTGTCAGTAAGTAAAATCTCCATTGCATACGTATGCGTACATCCAGGTATACTGAAGTTAACCCCAGGATAATTTGAAAAGTGTGACAATGACAAGAGGGGTGAGCTCTCCAATCCAGATGAAGTTTTGTGTTTGATGAGGCAAGGACTTCACCCTGAAAGTGTAACTTTCAGATGTCTTCATCACTTATCACAAAATAAGAGGTGATTCAGCTTCCAGAGTCATCACATTAGACCCCAAAACTGAAGCACCGAATCAACATGTAGCATACGTGGGAGGAACTGCCCTCAGGTGGCATCCATCCCCTTCCTGCATAACAAGCTCAGACTGGGCAACTTATTAGATGAGAGAAATGCCACTTCATATGGGAGGGAGTCTGAAGTTTCCAGCACTGACCTCATAGATGGCAGTGGTTTAGGCAAACATCTGGGAGGAAATCTTTGCTCTTTATCAACCATAAGACCAAGATTTCATGCCTGGCTCTCTGGAGACCCACCCTATTCTTCTCACACAGGCAAAATGTTGCAGGTCCACCCTCCATCCCAAGGAGGTGCACTGGGCAGCTACAGTGAGGTATGGGGAATTGCTCTTACCTCTTTCTGCTGGTGGTGAAAGCTCAATAAAGCTACGGCATTTCTCTTCTGAAACACAAAACCGAAGGTGTTAGTTTGCAAAACAATACAGGGTACATAAGGGAAAAGAACATATCTTCCTCTCACTCTCTTTTCAATGCTTAGCTCCAATCATCCCTAAGTCTACCCATCAGATCTTCTCACCTCTGCTCCATTTCTGGCCACTTTTCCAGACCTTCACTGGGGCAAGGTAGTGGAAGGCAGTATCTGCCTGGAAAACCAGAATTGGCCTTTCCAGAAAAAACTTCAGCAATTTGTAAATTTTAGAAGTCTCTGATGAATATAAAAATCTGTTGCTACTCATTCACAACATTACTATTCATCAGGCCTAATAAGGGTGTAGCTTATAACGGACTGCAGACCCACCACTTCTGTTGAGAATGTGAATTCCCACTCACCCCAGTCTCAGCAGAGCAGTTCTAGCACTGCTTCCCAAAGAAGAAAGAAAAAATAAAAAATCTTCCCAAGTGAAATGCTGCATGACAGAGATGTAAGTCCCTCTTCTGTGGCAGTGAATCACACAAAATATGGTGTTCTGTCCTCACATTTTAGGCATCCTATTTGGACAAATAGTGTTCATAGTGTTAGCTTTTTATGTTGGCCAGATGTAAACTATTGTTCCATCTGAGGGTCCCTCATCATTATCTGTAAGTCTCTCTTACTGCATACTGCATTATTGAATTTTGTAGAAACATCCAATCATAGAAATGTTTAGGTTGGAAAAGACCTTTAAGATCATTGAGTCTAACCAGTAACCTAGCATTGCCAAGTCTACCACTAAACCATGTCCCTAAGCACCACATCTACAGGTCTTTTAAATACCTCTAAGAATGGTGACTCAACCACTTCCCTGGGCAGTCTATTCCAGTGCTTGACAACCCTTTCAGTGGAGACATTTTTCCTAATATCCAATCTAAACCTACCCTGGCACAACTTGAGACTGTTTCCTCTTGTTACTTGGGAGAGGAGACTAACACCCACCCCTCTACAACCTCCTTTCAGGTAGTTGTGGAGAGCAGTAAGGTCTCCCCTCAGCATCCTTTTCTCTGGGTTAAACAACTCCAATTCCCTCAGCCACTCCTCATAAGACTTGTTCTCTGGACCCTTCACCAACTTTGTTCTTCTTCTTTGGACACACTCCAGCAGCTCAATGTCTTTCTTGTAGCGAGGGGCCCAAAACTGAACACAGTATTCAAGGTGTGGCCTCAACAGCACTGAGTACTGGGGGACAATTACTTGCCCAGTCCTGCTGGCCACACTATTTCTGATACTAGCCAGGATGCTACCGGCCTTCGTGGCTATCTGGGCACACTGCCAGCTCTTATTCAGCTGACTGTTGACCAATGCCCCCATGTCCTTTTCTGCCAGGCAGCTTCCCAGCCGCTCTTCCCCAAGCCTGCAGCACTGCATGGGGTTCTTGTGACCCAAGTGCATGACCCAGCACTTAGCCTCATACAGTTTGAGCATCCTCTCCTCTACTTGGCACAGTATTTTCTCCCAGAAGTATCAGCCTGTTGCTTTTCATGTAAGAATCTACTTTTCTTAATTTCTATCCTCATTTCTAATCTCTCCCAATCTCCTGTATTACTTCTGTTATCCACAGCTCTCAGGATGTTACCCAGTTTAGTTCCATCTGCAGTTCTTAGTAACTTGTGGTTTGCTACTTCACCTAGAACTTTAGTGAGGTTATTCAGTAATGGCTCATCTAAACTGATCCTGAGATTAGCCTTAATAATGAAATGCTTTCTGCAGCTCAACTCAAACTCCTTTTGCTCATAGTAGCCTCTTTGTTGTTGTCTATGCACTTGCTTCAAAGACCCACAGTAGGGTGTGGGCTGTGCTCGATTTACAAGAAACAAGGGACAGAGACTGACTATGTGCTCTACCCTGTGTTCTGCTGCAATCCAGATGTAACGTGCTCTCTGCATTCCTTCAGGATTCAGGGTTATTCCGGGACTGCCCAGTGGCCAGACAAGTCTTTCAGAGAAAGATGTCAAAGGATGTAGTCCCATGCCCACAAGCACCATGGAAACACAGCCCAACCCAAACCAGTCCCAAATAAACACATTTCCTTCCTCAGCATATCTGGAAATGCTCATAACAAAGCAGCCCTCTCGTTAGGACATGAGAGTTTCAAGCACATTACCTCCTGCTCCCACCCCCATTATGTCTGCTTTTATTCACCAATTCTTTATTTTCAAACTCTGAGAGCAACAGCAGATAAGAAAATGAGAAATGCCATACTAGAACGATGGCTTAGTTAAAGGTGAGATGTTTATGATTGGGGAGAGCTGAAGAGAGGGTGGTGGGCTCAGGGGAATGGGCCTGATGAAATTGACTTTCATCACTGTATCTTTATATGAATCACCCCGTTGGCTACCTTCCAGGTCAGTTCTGTTCTTTGATGTCTGTGCCAGGCCGTAAAGAGCATCTGTGCACTGCAGAGCATCCACCTGTGCTGGCATGGCACAGGTTTCAGCAGGACTTCAGCAGGGCTGGGCAGGAGCAAGTCAAGGGTGAACGGAGGCACCAAAGGGGTCTGGTACAGGTTACACAACCAGCCCCTGTCACTCCAGGATTTGCAGTGCCAGAAATCACAAATGAAACCTGTCACAATATCACAAAAACAACTAAAAAATAACAATTTTGCAGCTGTAATCCTCAGGTCAATTTGCCTCCTAGCTTTAGTTTTGCTGGATTCAAATCCTCCAGGTTTTCTCTGCATCTATAAGGCAGTACTTTTTTTCTCTTTAGTCTTTTTTTTAAAGAAAAGTTCAGCCCTTGTTCAATTCACAAAACCTCTCAGTTTGGTAATTTAAGGAGAACACTAACTATTGCAGTACTGACCATGATAACTATAAATTGACAATGCTGCATAAAATCATCCCACTTAGATTTCTGATGGAACATGCACAAATGTGCCCTGGAGAGCATGAAGTAAGCTGTGTGTAGGAATGGAGGTATGGGGAAAGGGCAAGGACGCTCACTCCAGTTCACATCAGGATGAACGATGCCATCACAAAGTCACTGCCACCACCATCACCACTTGCACTTCACAGCCCCTATTCCAGACCGAAGGGCACACCAGAAACAACCATTCTCCCTTGCTCCCCTATAAACATCCCAATGAAGGACAGAAATATAATGACCACAGCAGTGCACAGGGCCAATGGCATCTAGGAAAATGAAGAAGGCTTTTCTCCCAAGTGTTTTCGGCCTCCCGCCTTTCATTTCCAAACTACTGTGGATTAAATACAAGAGAAGAAGTTGTGGCTGCCTGGGCAAGACACTACCTGGCCCTTCCATGCTCTCTTCACAGGAAAGCCACATCCCCGTGTGGAAGTATCTGAAGTCAAAGCGGTCATCCCCGGTCTCCCAGCTGTAGTGCACCACATCCTGGGATGAAACATTGCTAGCACCTGCGTCAGGCAGTATGGGGACACCGATGCACTTGGTGGCTTTGCTCTTTCCACACAAAGGCTTGGGCACTTTCTGGGTACCGGTGCACCAGTAGCTGCCAAGCAAGGCAGTGGTGGAGAGGCTGAGAGCCAGCAGGTTCAGGATGACAGCCAGGAAAGGACGGCGCCATGGCAATCCCTTCAGCAGCTCCATCTACAACACACAAATGGGAGGGACTGTCACACCAACCTCTTGTCCCACCTAGCCTTAGGAATTCGAGCTCTTCGCAGCACGCATCTGTGGGGAGGGGATATGAGCACTCTGCCCTCCTCACCACATCCCAACAGCTCACCCAGCATGGAAAAAACATTTCTTGAAAGCCAGGGTGGTGGAGCTCAGCTTCAGCCATTTCAAAGTACACTGAATAGCTGTACTGGGGAAGAGAGGGTGACCCAGTAGACATAACAGGGCTGAGTGCATCAGGGGGCGTGAGCACATGAGCAAATGGAAAGGGACATCATATTTACTCCATCTCAGAATTGGTCAGGAAAAACTGTTAACCAACTTCCCCAAAATACCATGTGTTGCCTTTAGATGGGGCATGATGAATGCTCTGTCCAACTAAATGAGAATTCTTGCTGCCAAGGGTCCACAAACACTTTTTCAAACAGTTCATTACCTAGGGAGGTAAGCAGTGTACTGATTTCATAGCGGGGAAAAGCAGGAAAATGTTCCTGGATTATTGGAAGTCACACATCAAAGCTTCTCAGGAGGGACACACAGCTATCCAGACCTGGCAGATTGAGTTCAAGCCCCCGAGCAGCTCCCCCAACCTGAACAAGTACTGCTCTGCACATCAGAAATTTGGTAGAGTGGTGGGATGACAGTGTCTCTGCTCTCACACAAAGTGCCAGAGGAGCTTTTTTTTAAGAGCAAACATTGCTACAAACACTCTTACCAGTTTCATCTCATCAGATAAAGTAATTCAGACAGCAGTTTGTGTACCAGGGTCCTGTGGTCTTTCTCACTCAGAAGGAAGCTTAAGATTTTACGGTTCCTGCAAAACCCTGCACTGACTTCTGAGAACCCCAACTTATCACTCAATGGATTGATTAGATGTCATCTACCCACACATCAACTTTCATGTAATCAACGCATGCCTCTTCCCACATGGCACTCCCTATGTTTGGCACAACTTCATCCAATACTCCCACCCTTTCCTATTTATGACTCTCAAAATCTATTTGCCCATGAATAGATTCAGTTTGTACAGACATTGCCTGCTGACGGTCCTCTTCACAGAACTTTGGTTGACTCACCCAATGCTGAACATGTGAGAAAGGCCCAGCATACTGTGGACACTACTATAAATAAATGGTATGAGACTGAGTTTTGCATTGTTTGTGACTTCACCACAGCAAAAAGTGGTGCAGTTAGAAGCATTTGTTCGCTAACCAGCAAGCTCAGAAATGTGGCCAATAAAGATGGTGCTGCAGCTCCTCTTAGAAAGGACTTCATTATCATTTCATCATATTGAGAAAATAATGCCTGATCCAGAACAGCCTCATTGAAGGCAAGAAAATTCCCAGCTCCTGAAAAAATCCTGCATTATTTTATGGTCTGAATACTTTTTCTCTTCACCAGAACATTTCTTTCTTTCAAAAATGGAGATGCCACATCCTGGAGATGGTAACACCTTAGTGATACCATAACTAATGACTTCAGTCATCTGAAGGCATGTTGAATATCACCATTTTCACAGAGCAGATACCTAGTAGGAACAGTTTCTGATTAAGGTTGGTGGCCAGTTCCTCACTGAAAGTTCTCTCAGCGGAAAATTTGGCTTAAAACTGAAAAGGAAATTATAGATAAAATTTCTCTTCTTAAAACCATGATTTTTTATCTGAAAATAGAAACCTTCAGCATACAAAATTTTTAAGTTTTTCATCAATGCTTGATTATAAGATTTTCTGTCATCAGGTTTCACTTTGCTCAAGCTTTTATTTAAAAAAAAACAAACTTTCCACTCAGAATATTGACAAAAATCATTTTTCTAATTTAAATCTTCAGTAGTAGGAAAATACTCTCTCCAGCTGATTTGTGTTAGTAGTTCAAAGGCCATGTATTTTCAGAACAAGTGATAAGGAAAAAAAAAAAAAAGAATGAGTCAGAAGAAGGAACTGGATCAAAGATACAGAGGACATAGGGAATGAGAAGCAAATCTGAACTACTCCTTCATGAGAACACTGTCAGAAAAGTTTCCCTTCATCAAAGCCAAGCACTTCATGACAATAACTGACCATAGTATCTAGATAGCCCCAAAAGGAAAAAGAGTTGGATTTACCTTGGCAGTAAGTCCTGAAAGTCCTGTTAATTTGGAGGAGCAAAACAGAAATGGGAGTCACGCTTTGTCTGCTGTTTTGCTCATCTCTAGATCCTCCACGAAACCCAATTTCTTCAAAACCCCTTTCTCCTTTGTCTCCTCCCTCATCACCCATTTCCCCCCCCTCCCCCCCCATGATTATTAAATGTTATCCCTCCAGCCAGCAGCTGTTTCATGGAAAATGCTAATTTTGTAATCCACAATGCAATCACAGCCCAGCTGTTCTCGGAGATTATACGGGAAGCGATTGGTGCTGTGAGCTGGGATTAAGTGCAAGGGTGACCTGTATTGACTGAGTAGAAAATTTCCATAAAACACAGAAAGATCCTAGCCACCTCCATACAGTGGCTGTTTGGGAGTTTGTATGGAGTGAGCTGCTGGGTCTCTGGCCATTGCTTCAGGGGATGTGACCTTAGCTCAGAAACTACAACCACTCTTGGCATCAGGTCACACCTTGCCCTGTGCACTGTCTCAGCAGAATGGCAAAGACCACAAGCTCCCCAGCCCTGGAATATCTTCCTGGCCAGACCTGCTGGCCACAGAAGAGAGAGAAGAAAAAAATGGGGGGAGGAAATTTTATGTGACTGCATCTGCTCTGAGGACTGAAGATTTCAGACCCTGAAGAAATGACAATCCAGCCCTTCCCATGGGCACTGGAATTTTTAATGGCTAAAGGAGCCCCTTAGCAGCACTGCTGAGTAGCAGACTGGCACCATGGCATCACCACCATCACAGAGGTATGTGAAACAGTGACAAGTCAAAGTCCAGTACTCAAAGGATGGGAGCACAGGGAAGACTGTGAGTGTCCCTCGTAGTGGCAGATTTTACCAAGGTGCGAAATTCAGCAGGAATCCCAACTCCCAGCAGCTTCACGTTGGATGTATTGGGGAAGCTAGTAAAGAGAGACAGAAAGATTCACTCACTCTGAGCTCTCTTTCTGAAAGTTTAAAGTCTCCCACAATACCTGAGGGTATTGATACACACTGTTTGCTATCAGAACAGTAAGAAAGGCATCACCTCTCATAAGAATGAACTGTCACTAGAGGGCATGGAGAAGCGCTGCATTGAATCAGACTTCAAGGGAGAAAAGCATCCCAAAGGTACACATCCCATTTTCCCCACAAAGGCGCTGCCCAGTGCCAGGCAGGTGAGGGTCCCACCACCACTGGGAGGGAGCAAGGCAGATTCCCTGCATGCCTACCCGGCAGCTCTGGCGGGACAGAGGAAACCAGTGGTTCCTACTCTCATCCTCTGATTCCAACACCAGTGCCCAGAGGCTGGGAAGCAGGTGTTGGAGTAGTTCTGGGTGACAGCACAGCCTCTGACAGCCCCTGCACAACACAGAGAAGACGGAGCCAACAGGTTCACAGTGCCGTACGTGGCCTGTGCTATCACGGGCTCCAGACCCCTCCTGCCCTGAGCAGAACGGTTGGTACCTCTGCAGCTATTTTAATCCTAAATCACTGCATAAACTCCTCTAATATAGATAATCATTTCTAAGATGGGCTAACTGAAAGCAATGCTAAATGTTTCCATGTTCCATGGACTGTCTGTAGGTTTTCTGAGTAGTAACAAGGTTCTGTTTGACACAGAGATACTTAATTTACTGAAGTAGGTAGAATAATAGCAGATTCTGTTTAAAAGGAGACTGGTAATTTTTATTTTTTTCCATTGTTCAGTCTCTCCACACCTAGACAGCTTAAGTCTGGCTTCTAAATGCTCAGTAAAAAAAAAGTGTGGTTTTTAGGCTCAAGAACAGATAAAGTCCATCTCTCTACTGATAATCCTTAATGTCAACATGTTCCTAATTTTAAAATTGATGAGAGACTCATTAAAATCCAGGATGTTATGTCAGTTTCTAAAGCTAGGATCACAGCATATATATTGATGAAATGAGACTGAATTAGATTTATATGGATAAGAATTCAGATTATAAAATAAATTTATCAAAAATATGCTATGGTTTCAAAAATACACATCTATCAGATATAGTATTCTGAATAATGGCAGATATTTATCCTTCCAGAAGATGGCAATCTTTCTCTAGTCTTCCTTTTGGGAGTCTGCTTTTCACGTGTGTGCTGGGGGGAAGCAACACCCCAGTTTAGACTTCTGTTCGTTCCCTTCATGTTTTTTCTCCCGCTATCTTCCTCTTTTTTCCATTTCTATGAACACAACCTCTTTACCTCACCACTTCATGGGGCGTTTGAATTATCTTTGAGTTATCTGAGCCTGGAGAGACTTCTGAAATCACTGGGGAAAGAAAAAAGGAGGAATGAATGGAGAAGCTGAGCCAGGCATTTGCTCCACGTTCTGCCCTGCACAGAACTATTCTTTCTAATATGTTTTCCAACATTTTGTCGAGTACCATATTAGCTTTCTCAGTGTGTTTCCATTCCCAGATTATTGCACACAGCTCATAGAACGTGAACACCAGAGCACGTTTACTGATGTTCAACTCCCTTAGCAAAATTTTGAGTTTTGTTGTTGTTTTTGTTGGGGTTTTTTAAACTCCATTGCAACCTCACCTTAATCTGACCAATTATGGACAGGAAAACCAAGCTGTATCTGTCTTTCACCTACTGTGCCTTCCATTTTTCTCTTTGTATCTGATATTTCCCACCATAACTTGGCTTGGTTAGAGGCTTTGGATGTCTCTTCCTCTTTGAACTCAGCAGCAGCAAGTCCCCGGTGACTAGTTTAAAGTTCGCCCATTGGAATGAATGCCCATAGCAGTTGATTTCCTGTGCAATCAGCCAAGTTCTCAGCTTATAGAAATAAAACAAGGAAATGAAATGCAAAACACAAGCGTAGCACAACACCTCTGTGGAGGTTGCCAACTCTAAAAAAGGCCGGGCATTTACAAGTGATGCATTTTTATTCTGGCTGTTTCACATACATACTTAGGGTGTATCCTGCCCCAAAATGACACCCTCAACTCCCAAGGATGGTGGTGGAAAAGAAGGGCGAGGAGCCCTGACCAGAAAGGGCCCCAACATTGCAATACTTAACTGGCAGGTCTCAAGAGGTACATGCCTCTTCATAGCCCTCCATGCAGCAATCCTTCCCAGGGATACCAGGGATCATGCTGTCCTGACATTGGCTCTTTAGCTGTCCTGAAGAGGAACAGAGAGGAGGAAGTGTGGCTATTTACACCCATAACATCGTTCTTTGAAACCTGGACAAGGACTCATACCCCTCATTCCACACATTCCTCACACATTCCTCACACATGACACTTCCCACGGCTCCTGTTTTTGCTGTTTTTACAGGAAGACTGTCCAGCACTGCAGTCCTCTCCCTTGCTGCCACACAGAAAGCAGGATGTCTCTGGATGGCAGTGACAGAGAGAGCCAGACTTCTCAAACCCATTGACAGACTGCAAATGTCAGATTTCTCCCTGAACTCTGAATAATTCCACTCAGGTTGTAACCTTTATTTAGCTGTTTGCATGATGCATTAACTCTTGCTCTGCAAATGACCTCACCAGGCATATTTTTTCCAGGCTCAGCATATTTAAAGGTGATTTCTGTTTTTAAACATGAACAGCATACATTGATAGACATTGTCTGTGGCAGAACAGAAATAAGATTGAATTGGAATAGGTAAATGAATCTTGAAGCTTGACATCAACTACTTTTCTCCCCCCCTACTTTTTTTTTCTTTTTTTTTTTTCTCAAAACAGGTCTTACTCGACTGGATTTTTTTTCTAATCTTTATGGTTATCAACTATTCAAAAACCACATAGAAAGCAGGCATGAAAAGAAAAAAAATCAAATGCAGCAACACAGACTTTGAGGACTCACAAGAGTCACTAGACTAGGACTCACTAGAGTCTAGATGCTTCAATTTCTAGATAGGTAACATCAGACTGTTTAAAGGGGTTGCTTTTCACAGAGTACTTAAATTCTGGCAGCTCTAGGATGTGCTCACCTGAGCACACAGGAAAAAAAAAATTATTACATTTAGCCAACCATAAACTGTAAGCAGACAAGACAAAAACAACTTTTTATATAGATCGTTAAGGTTTTTAAAGAGGATACAGTCCGGGAAAGGGTCCATACAAACTCTCAAGTAGATAAACACTTACCTTATCCACTGCTCACTATCCCCATCTGCTCTTCTGAGGCATCCAGTGAAATGCTACAAGGTGATCATGGACTCTCCCCACTATTTCTTTCTCTCTGACTGAACATGTAGCAGCCAAGAAATTCCATGAGATCTGACCAGATGCTTTGAAATGTACCAAGTCTGTCATTTTATTGGTGGGTTAATTCTTTCTGAGCTTGCTAATTCATCACAGTACATTATATCAGCCGCAGGATTGGCAGGGCGTCCACTTCTGCAGAATGCGTTTTAGTAATTTGGTAGTCCCCTTTATGAATATTGTTGCCAGTTTTAAATGTACCACTTATGAGATTTCAGTCTGTTACTGCACAGAATCACAAACACTCAGACTCAATGGCTGTCACAGGCTCATGGGGTTTTTTATCATCAAGAGGGACAGTTACAACAACATAGTCTCATCTCGGGTGTAACAGAACCCAAAGAATTTCAGACAATCCTTTCTAACAATACACAGACACCCTGCTGGATATATAGCACATATTTTATACAACTAACTAATATTGACTGTGCAACAGAGCATGATGGAAAACCCATCACATCCTTAGAAAAGTTATTCCAATGATTAATTAATCTAATTCTTAAAATGTTACTCTTGATTTGTAAGCACAGTGTCTGCTTTAGTTTTTCAACCTCATCAGGCTTCTCCAACACACAAATAAATAGCTAGTGAAATTATTTCCTAAAAATGATATCGTAAGAGTCACAAATCAATGCATTTCATTAGAGGCACATAGTGTGATCTAACAAGGTGGCTGACGGCCCAAATTCCTGGTTCAGTACTTGGCTCTGACACGCAATTTTCCCCTCCCATCAGCCAAGTCATTAATGGCACGTTTACACTGCAGTCAAAGCAGTGGCAGTGATGGGGAGTAAACACTCAGTGCTTGTTTTAATTGGTTGCTGCTATCAATGTCACTCCAGCAATATGGAGCACAATGTAGGGTACAAACCTCAATCCAGAAATGGAGTAAGATGTGCTGAACTCCACATTGCCATGGCTGCACTGATAGTTCAAAAATAATTGTTTCCCTACACTGTAACATTGGGTCTTCATAGTTAATCCCACAGATGCAAATCTACAGCACAGCTGATCCTTGTTGATGTTGGAATCAGCACAAAGTCAGTGGGAAAGAGATACTCTGTTTTGGTAATGACAAAACCATGGGATCTAAAATTAATCTGTGCAAACAGTACATCACACATGCAGGTGATCTTGGAGTCAAAGAAATATTTAGTATCAGTTTTAAAGCAAAACCAATATGAAACATTACAGATGAATCACACTGCACTTTGATTTCATGTGTGGAAATTAATAAGTCAAAACAGTTGTTCTTTGCTTCATCTTTTCCTCCATTTCACTATGCTGAATCAGAATAAACAGAGCTATAGGAAGCCTCAAAAGATTATCTAGTCAATCCACCTGCATCAATATGACCTAGGCACCCTGAAGACCTTCAAACCTACTGTTAATATTTTCCGCAAGGCAGATACTACTCCATCCTGAATTTAAGTCAGTATATTCCCTTCTAATATCTTGATTCCAACCAAATCACAATATCCGGCAGAAAAATTTTCCATCTTTGCTAAATGCCATGGTCTCCATCCCACATCTGAATTATTTACTCACATGGATTATCCCCTTGAGGCCATTGGAACTATACAGTTTACTAAAGTTATACTCACACGCTAGTATTTGAGGAACCAGTGCTTCAAAGGAAGACTCTAAGCTAGCAGTAGAGGTTTGGAAATCAAAAAGAGTGAGTAAGACAGAGAGTTAGCTTTTTTGAGGTGAGGCGTGGGAGGTGTTTTCGTTCTTTAGCTATTAAAAACTCCTTGCTTTGGCAAGAAAAAAAAAAAAAGGGGGGGGGGGGGACAACCTCAGTCCCATGTGTGGAGTGGAGACATCGCTTCCCCAGGGTTCGCCCTGGCTGCAGGCAGGAGGTGTCCAGGAGCGGTGACACTATCCTGGGCCACAAAAGGCCAGAGCTAGGTGACCCTGTAGCCACAGCCAGGGACCTTTGTGCAAGTGCATTGTAACTTGGGTCTTAAATCATGTGCTATTATTTCCATCAGGCCCACAGTTAAAAAAAACCCAAACAAAAAACTGTCCTTTCCAGTCCCTATTATTTTCTTCTGACCAGGCTCAAGCTGCAATTACTCAAAGGCTCATTATTTAGCCAAACTCAGGGCGTATTTTGTCATAGATGACAGAAGGCATGTTCCTGACAGAAAAATTGTGAAGAGGCTGTTTTTTTAAAAGAAAAAAGTCATCAACATTTTTTTATTTTTAATGTGGATAAAACAGAATATTCCCCTGCCAGCCTTGTTCTCAGAAACA